TATCCTACCTAAATTACTTCTTCTAGGAACAAAAAGCATAAATAGTACTCTTTTATGTAGTATTTGAAGATATATTTCGTTAACTTCGCTGATATGGAGGCAGGGTAAAAGCCATCTTTTTGCTCATTTTTGGTGGACAGAATGTTGCAATTTTCTAAAAGAAAGAAGCTATTCTGGGGTTACAATTAACAAACAGTTAGGGACAAACTATTTAGTAATTTAATGAGTTAAGAATCAAGAATGTTGAGCATAATACAATTATATCTTGGAATCTTGGTAACATTTTATTCTTTGTAGTTTACTTCCAGAGCTTTCTATCTTCTCCTTCCTTTATCCAGTCTCCTCTGATGGTTTTGTATCTCCTTTTTCCAGAGCTTGAAGTCATTTCTTGGAGAGGAAAAGCTCAAGGTAAGGATTCTTCTTTATCATATTTGATCTCTTAAATAAGACAAGGCGCCGAACAACATGTTGTTGGGAAGATAAGGAAGATGTCCACCAGTAGCATGCTTGATGTGTTTTTATACCATAGAAACAATTATGAGGGTGGTTTCGCTCAAATGACTTCACATCTACATGCATGTCTAGCTTAACTAGCATATGGATTTTATTTATTTTTGTTACATACTTGATATGATTGTACAGGAATTTATAAACTTTACGCTTCATTATATTGCTGACTTGGATATCCCAATAAAAAGGTAATTACACTGGTGGCAAGCACATCGACTTTCATGGAAGTGAACTCCTACTCTCTTTTCCTGTTTATCACTCGAGCTGAATAAAACCGTCTATCACCATTTATTTTACTAGGGGAACATTTATAGAATTCCGAAGTGGGATGATCAATGTCTCACCAATTGGGAGGAACTGCAGCCAAGAAGAAAGGGATGAATTTGAAAAGTACGACAAGGTAGGAAAGTTGTCTTCTAGCAAAAAGATTGTTGGTAATTTATCTTTTTCTACTGTAGTCACGTTTGATTTAGTTTAATGGTAACCTCATATACAAAATGTGCTTTCAGGTTCACAACGTACGCCCAAAAATGGTGGCTGTGCTCCGGGAGAAGTTTGCCCACCTTAACCTGACATTTTCAATTGGAGGACAAATAAGCTTTGATGTGAGTGATATTATGTGCTT